GATAGCGTATTTACCCAAATATTGATAAATAAAGTCCATAGCGATCTTTTATTTTTTGATATTTAATATAAAAACGGTATTGTTTTTGTAACGACTTGGGACCTGCGATGGCAGGGGTTGTATTCAATTTCCATTTAAACCCTTACAAGGATGATACTTTTATCTTCCTCAAAAAACATTTTTGGTAAAAATTGCGCAAGTCATCCCATTTGTTGGAAGTTTTAATTTGACCCATTTTTCCTTGTTTCTTTAGGTGACACGCTTTTTTTAAGTAATGTATTTTTTACATCTAAAAGTTTTACACTGCACGTTGCTATTCTATGAGAGAAGTTGTGAATGGTGCGAAAGGGGGATAAAAATTGGGACAGTGAAGTGTAGTGCAGTGAAGTGAAATGAAGTGAAGTGCAACGGAATGCAATGTTGTGTATCGCCATACAACGTAGTACTGATTTGTAAGTAAATATTAAGACATTATTATTATTATTATTATTATTATTATTATTAGTTATATTCATTATTATTATTTATTTATTAGTGAATTCCTGTGCAAACTTAACTCACACGGGAAGTTTAAAGCCAAGCCAAATCCTTTTACTTGCCCGGATATTTATTTCTGATTACAGAGTATCCTCGCCCTAGTTTGGGCGAGCGTGGCCTGTTCTTCCCTGCCTTCCCTGCCTTCCCTGCCCCGCCCGGCCTCAACGCCCACCTGCCCAAATCCACTCTGCTCCTTGCCGCCGTCCTCCCTCTTTGCTGCTTCGCCTGGCCCGATACTACCCGCCTTACCGCCAGGTTGTGCGTGACGTCGACATATGTATTTTTTTTTCTTCAAATTATTAATGTTGGTATAAACATACAAAAAACACCAACTACAGTGCAGACATCAGGGATTGCCAGCTATCGAACTCCTTATTTTCTGATATTGATTACTTCATCTGGATGACGGATGTTCACAAGTATGTTTTAGAAATAATATACAAAGATGATTTTATTATTATTATTATTATTATTATTATTATTATTATTATTATTATTATTATTATTATCATTATTATATTGATAATGATTAAGTTCGCCACCGAGTTGTGGTCCATTGCAGTTGAGTGTCGGCACTCACCACTTCCACTCCTGGCTGGCCTTGATGGTGAGCGTGAAGATGCCCTCGCAGGCCAGCAGCAGGATGGGCGTGGCCAGGTACCAGAAGAACGGGTTGCGCGTGAAGATGGTGACCTGCCAGATGGCGACCGCGCCGTGCGCCGCGAACACCACCCGCGTCACCACCGCCTTGGGGCGTAGCGCGCTCGCGCTTTTTACTTTCTCGCGTACCACTTACGAAATTTCGTCGGAAAAACTCGTGTTATGGAGCCCTGGAACCGAAACAATGAATCCTGCTCCGCATGTAGTAAATAATTTCTCCCAGTCGTTGTGTCGTTATATTTCTCGTTTTGTGAGTCTTTGATACCGAAAAATTTCTTTACGGCAAGACACGCGTCCGTCGTACGTCCGTCAACAGAGCTAAGGGGGAAAGTGGAGTTTTCATAAAAATTGATATTCACCGATATATCTACCGGTGTTGCGGTTCCTGGAATTTGAAACATATCTTAATTTGGGAGGGGAGACCTTCATTTACCCCAAATGACATTATGTACATTTTCTCAAAAGTGGTTCCAATTTTTTCCCTTTAACTTTATTCTAGGGGAATCGCTAAAAATGGCTCGTTATCCTTATAACAATGGTACAGATCCATTTAAGTTGTATTCTATGACATTTTGAAGATTGCGAAAGATTATAATATTTCAGCGTCTTCCTACATCTACAAGATAGAGATATTTTGGATGAAATAAGATAAATAATACATCTTGAAATAAAATCATGCATTTTTTTTCAAAATATGAGTACCTAAGGCGTAATTTTGCGTCACTTAAAAAAAGGTTTACTCGTAAACAGCTCAAAATTTTCTTTAATTTTTTCACTCGTATACTTTGAAGAACACTTATAAGAAATGGGCAGTGCTAATTTTCGTTAAACTTCAGGAGCGTGACTTAAGTGCGTTAATGCGGACTTATTTTCGTTAATGAAAATACGACCTGAACTATTTTATAACTGTAGTTTGCTCTATCCAATTGAAAATTTCCTCAAAAAATGGAGAAATTTTCGCTAAAATGTTGAAAATATTGCTAGGGCTTCATGTAGTCCCCTCAAAAATCAAAATATTCGTTTCCACGAAGGCCCTCGGGTTTGATCACATCAAGTGTGGAACATCAATTATGGAGAAAATCGTCCGAAGGGTTTAGGCGATACCTTTGACAATTGATGGACGTCTGGCAGAAGTTCCGTCGTGAACAAAGTTTTCGGTATCGATAACTTCAAAAATGGTAATTTTGGCTGCACATTGTGTTAGAGGAAGTAATTTACTACACATAGGAACAAGATTTATCCTCTTTTTCGATCCCAGGGCACCACTATACGAGATTTTCAGATGAAAAATCGTCGGTTCTTCCGCAGCTGTACAAAACTTTTTGTTCACTATGGCATTGCGGACTGTAGCATTGCGAGATGGTGAAATTATTTAATTAAATTCATTCTCATCATAAATTGGCATTAAACTTAATGCTAAGTACATCCATTAGTTTTGTGCACAGTTTTTTTTATAGTTTCAGTGTTGATCAAAATCATCAAAGTCATCAATATTAATGTTGTATTAACTTTGGTTCTCAGGAAATATTATAAAATTACAAAGTGAACATTGTAAAGTCGCAGGTTGAATAGAATTTCCAATTAACTGTCTATACTCCAGAACCCTTCTTGTAGAATAGGTACTAGTGTCGCCTTTCCAACTTTTTTCTTTCTTACGGGACTTTTAATATAACGGCAAATATAAATGGCAGGTGCTCACTGGAATATGCAATAATCATCTACGAAATCGCTGTTTTTGAACTTTGTAGGGTTTATATGAAAAACACAGTACATGAAAGTAGTCATATTTTAAATAAGGATGCATTTAAACAAATCGACTTTTTCTCATCATTACCGAATTTTCTCTTTACTACGTATAACATAAAGTGAAGTATATGTATAATGGAAGTCTTATAAATCGTATATTGATAAACCGTATTTGATACGCCTCTTGATTTTGACCAATTGTCGTTGACTTTCTTTTTTACCCCTTCCTGTTGTTGGGGTTCGGGTGAACAATCCTGTATTTGCCTCGTTTAGAAAATGTAACTTTATTTAGTACCATATGTTTACTATGAGAAGTGACAACAACAGCAACCAATAGAGTAGCCTCTGATTTACCTTGAGTGTGGCCAGCAGGCGCCCCATGGCGATCGCGCGCTGAACCTGAAGCGGTCTTCCTCTCTGAGGCAAGGCAAGCAGCGCACTGACCTCGCAACAGAAGACGAAGGGGACAAAACCGAAACAAAATAATTGGAAATTCACTATAATGAACAATTTAACAATGTACAAAACAGCATTTCGATACCGTGTGTTTAATATACAAATTAGTAAAAGCTAAACGTTTAAAACATGTATCATTGGCTTCTGGAGGGGGGTTGAAGTTCCATGAGCCCCCCCCCCCATCCTCGGCGCGCCTCTCATAATCCATTGATGATTGATATGCCGTTCCGTGAAATGGGGAGGCGCTGACTGAAATCCTGAGTTTCAGGACCGCAATAAAACTTTCTGTGTAAAACTTCTTCGATTGGTGAGCAAGTGACCTATTTACTTTTGACGTTTTTTGCCTTACTGAGATCACTGTTATTTGCTAAATATTTAAAAATATTTAAAACTAGAAGAGCAGTGTAATGTTTTGAAAACTTTTTTCTTGTAAATTTCCTAGAAAATGTTCAAAGAGCTATTTTTTACAGAGTTTTTATTCAGCTAGCTGAAAAATCATATGGGAATAAAATCTTGTTCTGTTGATATCAAATGTGCAATTAATTTGGATTGAGGAAACACGCATACTACAAACATGTACTATCGTAAATTTATAAAAATAATTGTTAGTAGCATCTATTTGTTAAAACGTTATTTTGGGATACATTTTTCCAATTTGTAGAAATTTGAAAACAAAATTCGCAATTCTGGATATTTATATGTTGCGGCAATTTGTACTTGAGATAAAGATTTTGTTAAATGTTAATCCCTACTATTTGTGTGTACTCACAATCCTTTGATAACAGAAACAATTAACAGATAAAATACACATGATGTCAGTTTTCTCAGCCATAGATATGTTTAGAAAAATACGTTATAATTAGTCAGAATTGACGCAGAGAATTTGAGAAGCTCAAAATGAAACATTTGTCCAATAAAAAATAATTGATATGTTTTCCGTAAGGTATTCGATATTTCAAGATCAAAATTTGGAAATTCGTATCCATCACCCAACACACAATAACTACAGGTTATGTATCATCAATTATATTAGATGAACATTTTTTAAAGATTGGATTTATAACTCAAGAAAGACACTAGTGGCGTGCAGCAAACGCTGCTCTTTCCTGGGCGAACTTAACACGCTTGCGAAAAGGCATTTCTCTCCGACCCCCTGGTAGGTCCGTGGCCTAACACTTGCAGGGCACTTGCAGGCACACGCCCGGAGGCTTTGCTCAAAAACAATTATTTTTTCAAAAATAAAACAAGAAAGTTACTTGAAACTGAGATACGACATAGCTGATTGCACTACTTCCATGTTTAGATTAAGTTTTCGAACCATATGTCTAAAATGTTCATGGTATTTTTTTATTTTTCCTAAAATTCGTATTAACGTGAATAGTAGGCATTTCGAAGAATGAATTGACATTTTTCAGCCTTGAAGATACAATGGTTCTCCTACAAATTTATTTTCGTTATCTTAGCTATGTAGAGAGGTGTGACGGAGCTGCAAGGAGCCCAGACTGCGAATTGAGAGATTTGTCCAGAAGAGTCCCCAGGAGGGGATAAATCGCAGAATGAAGCGAACATCTCATGCAACACAGTCTGAACGAATCCCAAAAAACTTTCTTGTCCTATTTTCTTGCTTTGGATTTCTTGATTTGTAAGCTACATTTCCAGGTGTTAAACGAGGTACCTAATAGAATAAAAGCATTACTAACAAGGGAGAGGAAGACTTTTTGCAGCGGGGACGACCCCTGACGTCGCAGCCTGAAGGAGCCTGGTGTTGCCTACCTGCAGAACCGCCGCCGGGCGCCCGCGCCTGCCCACGCCCCCGCGCCGACTGCAGGCGCCGCGCCCGCGCCGCCGGCGGCAGCGCTGGGGGCGGGACGGGGCCTGGAGAGCGCAGGTGCAGAGGGGCACGGCCAGGGGTGGCCACACAACGTGGAGAGAAGTCGTAGGCTTCAGCGAGAGCGCCTGGCTGTCCCGGCGACGCGTCAGGCTAGACCACGAGGCAGCTCACGACAAGGTGGTCGAAACGTCGACATCACATTGCGACGCGACGTCGCGGGGTCATCAAGAGCACTCGCAAACAATGTGGTAGATCCTCAGGAGAAGACGCCCCGATAGTTTTAGTTGCAATCACCTGCTTTCCCATAACGCACCTCCGTGGGTGCGTATTTAGCTAACTGTTCTGCCTCTTAAGACCAAGAGCGCGGGTTAGACAGAGGTGCGTGGACTTTTAAGGGTAGTGAATACCCAGCAGACATCTCGTACTTTGGGACGCGTAAAAGAACCTCTGCTAAATGTTCTTCGGCAATTTCCGTTATAAACGCCACAAGGAACGGAGAAGTGTTGCCAGTGGCGCACCTTCACTTGTGTCATCTGAAACAAAATTAATGGCATCGCAACCACCCCCACCCCCTTGAATTAAATTTAAAAATAGTATGTGTTACTGAATGGCTTATACACCCGTCAAAAGGATAACCTACACGTTCCCCACTCTGAAACTACACTTTATCAAAAAAGTACCCTAAAGGTCAACTTAAAAATTTAAAATAAAAATAAAGACTTTTAACGTAGGTTATTTTTACAAAACTAGGAATAGATTAATTCATTTTGTTAGATAGTTATTTCAATTCATTTCATTGGTCATTTTATTCCAATAGCAAACTATTGATAGATATTCTAACTAAAAGAAGTCACAGGAAAAACTCTTTCATTGCTCTAGATCAGTCGTATCCTAGATGGAGGTCACAACCTCCAAGAGGGTCATGGTGATATGAAAGTGGGGTCATGAAATTTAGCCAACACATTTACATGTATAATAATAAATAAATTATTTGATGATAATAATTTATTATAATAGTACTTAATTTTTGAAGTACACATGTAAGAAAATAAATTAATGAGATTTTATTTATTGATTTTCAATTCACAGACATTTTTCCAAATGATTACAAAAATTACAGGTATTGTAATAATTACAATTTAATAACTCAAACTACAATCAAGTTCAGTTCATACTACTATATTTACACACTGTATATATGTCATTATAGAAACAAAAACCAGGACTATTGTACTACTACAAAATTAGAAGAATAGAAACATAGATGTAGTTGCTTTTGTTTTTCATTGAAACATTTTCCTTGGTGGATCAGTTTTAGAAATGTACAACGCAAATTGTTTTGGAGTGATAAAAGATTATTCTTATATTTAGTTTTTAGTTGCAATCTTAGACAAAAATCCTTTTCTAGAACTGAGGCCATGGCAAAAGGGTTTTTATATTTTTCAATGCTTATGTGCTACTTTTTCCCTATTTATTTACGAAGGACATATTTAATATATTCAAATGTGAATTGGCAGTTGTAGCATTTTGTCGCAGATCTTTCGATGAGCTGGTCATGATCTCAACTAATAACTTTCCATGCCTCCCAAAGATTTAGACCTTTGATTGTTACCTTCTTTTATTTGGCAAAACTGATTTAATTTTATATTATGTTAGAGACCTGTATTTATTTAAAATAATATTATGTATTATTATATAATTACAACAAAGAATAATATTAATTCAATACAAATATGTTACTGAATTGTATTAAAACAATAGCCAGAAGAGTAAGAAACTTGCATTGTGTAACCTGTATGTGCCTATGTTGCATGCACAACAGTTTACCTCTAGTTGGTAATAAAGACTTGTTTCATTGTTTTTTTCTGTCGGATGTTGCATTCCAACACTTGGATGGTTGATCCATTGTACTCCAGACCGAGCTGCAATTGTGAGAATTTTCTCTTTGACTCTCTAGATGCCATTGTTATCGGCTTCAGCATTGCCATTAATTTTACTACAAATTTGCCACCAGGGAAACGCACAATAATTGTTTTAGTAATACTCAGTAGTGTATTTAGGGGTGAGGTTTGTCTGCTGAGGGTGACACTGTTTTAAGGTGATACAATTAGAACTTGTATATTTGAATTATACAATTTTAATGATTTATTTAAATTATATTTTTATAAAAACATGTATTTGTTAATTATTTCTACTTGTTTTGTTGATCTATTAAAAAATTACACTTCTATTGTTCTGATTACTGCAGTTTTTAAATGTCATGTGCAATATATATAGTTTTATTACATAATGTATAATAGATATATTATAATAGTATTATTGAGTACCATTACAATTACAATCGTGTATGACGAGTCAATATGATGCCTTGGGTGAAGAGAGCGAATGTATATATACTTGTTCAGAGCAAACAAGGGGCCATTCTTACATCTTGCCAAAGGATCAGGGAAACTGAACAAAACCTGTATCGAGATGAGGTCATTGGCCTAGAAATACAATACTTGTTACAGTTAGATTAAGATATTATACAGTAGATAATAATTAACATTTCAATATGATATTTTAATGCTATTACTTTATAATTTACAACATATCAATTACATTAATTATATATAATACATTATAATTATGTGTTTGCAACTAATCAATTCACAATAGTAGTACATTCTATATTTATAATTGAAATGGTGAGGAGGACGTTTTTGACCAGTTTTTTTTCTTCTTGCTGATTCCACAGGATTGTGATATGCAGTTCTTTTTTGCTTTGCTTCAGCCTTGAAAACAGTTCACATGAACAGAAAGTCTTAATGATAAGAAATTCTTATTTATTTATATTTTTAGGAAATGTAATTTTGAAAATTCCTTTACACTGTAGAACATGTTGTTAAGCGGAAAGCTTTCAATTTACTTTTAATGTATGAATTGTTTTTGTCTTTGATATCATTGCCTAGTTTATTGTAAAGTGTAATGCCCTCTATTAGGGTACTTTTTGATTAAAGTGTAGTTTTCAGAGTGGGGAACGTGTAGGTTATGCCTTTTAGACGGAGTGTATAACTTATTTCAGTACACTATACTATTTTATAATTTAATTCAGGGTGGGGGTTGTTTGCGATGCAT